CAGCCGGCGGCGGGCGGAGGTGGGGAGCGGCCGGCAGCCCAGGTACCGGCGGTCGGCGGCGGGGGAACGGGGCGGGCGAGAGTCGGGGTCCGGCCCCCGGTGCCTGGGCCGGACTCGGTGGGTAGTGGAGCGCGGAGTTGTCGGCAAACTGCAGCGCAGCATCTCGGGGAGCGCTGGCGGCTCCCCCGGGGCCGGGAGCGCACCGTGGGTGCCGGGGGCTCCGGGGGCCAGGCGCGGCCCCGGGCGGGCGGGTGCAGCTGCCGTGTCGGCGGAACAGCGCCGGGATAGCGCATGGATCACCAGAAGGTGTTGACACGGGGTTAACCCTTCCCGGCTCCTGCCTTTCAGCGTTCTCTGCTAAAGCCCGAGCCCAGCTAGAGGCGAATTTTTGAAATTCAGATGAGGAAAGCGTAAATATTTTATTTGGGGAAATGGGTTTTTCGCGTGCATAGGCAGAGCTCTCTGTGTCACTGTGCGATGTAAACGCTACACTGAAACTGACTTACCTGTGCAGATTTCGAGGCAGTTTTTTGACAGGCCGGCAGTGTACAGGTTCACAATTAGCTGCACCCGCGTTTGGGCCAGCCCTGTTCCGAAAAAGCGCCGGTTTATACCTGTGACGCTGGGCAGGGTGTACAATGGCACAGCTCCTGTCGTGCTGCCGGTACAGATAGACGCTGCGAAAGGGTAACAGCCTGGATCTGGGAAAAGGCAACATGCTGGAAAAGCATCATTTGGGTTTTTAATACAGGCATTCTTACTCAAAACTGCCTCGAAAGGCGTGGAAGATACTACGTGTTGTTTTACTTGATACATGGGAAGATAAGCCAACTTTTTTTTTTTTTTTTTTGTACTCATCTCCCGTGTGTAACCTTCAAGTAGTGCTCACAGTTGGAGAAAGAAGAATGGTAGCGATTGGAAGAAGTCTCTTTTAATTTCTTTCTTTTTTTTTTTTTCTTTTTTTTTTTTTTTTTTTTTTTTAATTTTGGGCCTAAGATACGTTTGTTTTAAAGTTTTGAAGTGTTCAGCTTCTTTCTTCTATTTTCTTCAGAGACGTTCAGAGTAAAGAAGGTAATAAGTAATAATTAGATACTTCTGGTAGTTGAGCTGTAGTACTCTATAGAGTATTAAATGGAAATTAAGAGAATTAACACAGAAGCCAGCTTCAAACTATACCTTTTTGTTTTTACCTCCAGTCTGGCATTTGTTGTTGAATTTCATTTGAAAAGGATGCTTTGTTCAGCTTTGTCTCAATTTAAGTACAGATTTATTTTTAAGATTAAAGATTAGAACAGTGGGAAGCAATTGCAGCTTATACACTTATAATCTGACTGAGAGTCAACTTAAAAGTATTTAATACAGCTTTTTAAGTGTCCTTTTGTCATTTGTTTTACGCCAGTTAGTTGCAATTTCTTTCTGTAACGTGGACTGTTACAAACATTGTAAAAAATGCCTATTATCTTTATGTATAATTCATTCTCATGAACAAATTAGATTTTTCTTCCATGAGTGAACTACAATATGAAATTTAATGTTCTGACCTTTCTTATGTTGGGTTGCTGAAAACAGTGTCATTTAGCTTTTTTGAAAGCCCAAGCATATTTTTGTTGTTGGTTTAATGCATTGTTTTATATTGTTGCTTTTAATTGTGGGAAAAAAATAACATTACACATGTAGTTTTCGCAGTACTTCTTAATATATGAAGGCTCCAAAGTTCTTGCAGTGTAAAAGAAAAACTCTTTATTTTAATTTTTTTTTTTTTCTGGGAGCTCTGATGGCCTGTCTTGTTAATGACAGTCATTTCTCTAGCAGGAAGATGTTTTCATTTTATTTACTTCTCAGTGCAGGGCAATTATGCTGCTCTGCTGTTGTGCACTCTTCATAGTTTCTATCTCAAAAGAACTGCAGCGCTTGGAGCAGGACTGCAGTTTGAAGCAGGTGTTGTGTTTTACTGTTATGCAAAATAACGCTGAAATACAATTGTGAAGGAAATTCAGGAAACATCTGCAAACTTGGCATGGTAACCACTATGTTGTGTGAGCAGCTCTTGCAGCATCTTCCATGGCATCTAGCACAGCAAAGATGTGTTCCAGCAAAGCTCACCCTTGCCGATTTCTGCTGCTGAAACCTTGTTCTCATGAGACAGGTCCTCTAGGTCTCACAGGGGAGGACCAGGCTGTGACCACAGTTACAGTGCTCTGCCATCTCTAGTGACAGTTTTTAAACTGCTGCTTTTCCTTTTCATTTCATCTTCATTTTTTTTTTCCTTTTAATTTTTTCCTTTTGCTTTTTTCCCTTCCAACGCTAAAGAAGATGAAGGATAGAATCCAGCTAGCAGGACGAAGGTTGCAGAATGTCTCAACCCAACCAACATATGGAAGCCTACATAGGCCTGAGGTGGTAAAATAGTAAAATAAATGGCCTATAGCAGGCCATCTGCCATTTGCAGAGCGTTTTCATCGTGCCTCATGCCAAACTGGAAATTAGTCTTTGTATTAAAAATATATTTTGAATACAAATCAAAGATTTCAAATGCTCAGCGTTACACATGGCAAGCACATTTCTGTCTGGGAGCTAGAGAAGTCCAGGGAAATTGCACTGGAAAAATATTGCTTGGTTTGGTGCTCGGGGCTCAAGTCATTCTCTTCTCTTTCGTATCTCTTTGTCTTCCCAGGAAGCAAGGATTTACTTTTGTGAAATGCACTGCAGGTAGGGAAAGTCCACTCTAGGCAGCTGAAGGGCAGAATTTCAGTGGGTTCTGAGAGTGGTGATTTCACCGAGTCCAGGCAGCTAGCACAGCGTGTCCCAGCTGAGGACCTGCCCCATAAACGGGGCCTTTACGGAGCTGCTCATCTTGAAAGTGTCCTTCGACCATGGGCTGATCCATTTCCACAGAGCCCCTCTGAAAGGAAGGCACTGAGATATCTCAGGTTATTGGCCGGAGAAATCCAAGCTGGATTTTGCCCAGGAAGCTCAGCGGAGCTTGTTCGGGAGGTTCTGGCTGTTGGGCTGTGCTGATATCACAGATACCACATCCAGGCCTGACTCAAAGTGTGTGTAAGAGCACTCTGGAGAAGCCAAAGGCAGGGATGCAGAGAGAGAGAAGAGCCTATTTCTTTCATTTTTATGCAGAAATATTTTTGCATAAAATCACGCTTAAGTCAGATAAATGATCGCTGTCTGCTAGCAGTGAATCCAAACCACTTTCAATGCTAGGGAGCTATAATATGGATATTTTATTAACATTGCCTCGATACTCTGGGCACATAAACACCTCCATTCAAAGGCGTTTGGGTGTGCCTTTTGTTGTAACATGTTCTTTACATCAGTTTCTTGTAAGTTTCTCAGTTGTTGGTGTTCTAAAGCCACAGCAGCGGCTTGAAAGTAAGTGTGCGTATTTGTGGAAAGTCTTTTGTCCTTCGGGAAGTGGGTCCACTTGTGAGTTTTCATGGTTGCAATGAACACGAGATGTTATTTAAAATCAAGGATACGAAATGGGGAGTATTTAACTGGAGCTTTCAACACATATTTTATTCCCCCTTCCCCCATCCCCTGAAGATAAAGCCTTACTTGAAGCATTCCTTCTTTGGATGTGTCTAATGATGATGGAGTTGGATGATGAGGTAATTAAAAAAAAACCCAAAGTGAATAGTAATGCGTGGAGAGGGGTGATGGGTACATCAGGGATATAGAAAAAGATCTCAGATCTGAACAGGTCTCCGATCTGAACGGAAGTCAGGAGAGCGTGGAGCAGTAGGTCGGTGTGTGTTTACATCTCGTGGCTCAGAGCAGCGTCTGTCTCTCCTGGCAGAAGTCTCGGCGTTGATGCGGAGCTGCTGGGAGTCGGGATCCGCCCGGAGCACGATGCCCTGCCCTGCCCCTGGCCTTGGGAAGCTGTGAGCTGCTCATGTCCATAAGGAGGAAGGATGGCTCATGGAATTCCTTCACAAGGCAAAGTTACCATAACGGTGGATGAGTACAGCTCCAACCCGACGCAGGCGTTCACGCACTACAACATCAACCAGAGCCGCTTCCAGCCTCCCCACGTGCACATGTGAGTATTCCCTGCCTGCGTGCCTGCTGTGTGCCTGACACCGGGACTGCTGCTCCAGGACAGCCGGCAAAACCACTGGTTGGGAAATTGCCTTAGTTAGCCACGGGAGCTGAGAGGCAGAATGGTTAGCGTTAAAAATGGGACCAGACTCCTGGTATTAAAGTGATTTCAGCATTTTTTATAATAAAAAAAAAAGAAAGGCCTAAAGCAAGGGGGCCCGCGGGCCGAGCAGGAGCATTCCCATCGAGGATGCTGTGGTGTTGGCACTGGATCTTCGTCAGCAGCGATGTCCCGGGTGGAGCGTGGAGCGGCACAGCTTCCCTGGCTCAGATGCCCCTTTTAATCCTGTTTTTTGTCCCTTCGGATTAGTTTCTTTTTGAATCCTTCATTTGCAGGAAGGTTTAAGGCGCTTGATGGACCCGTTACAGTTCTGTCCAGGCCGGCTCGTTTCGCTTGGGGGGTGCTGCCCTTTCCTTGTGTGTAATACGGCACCCTGAGCACCGCATTTCTTATAATTGCCCTTTTAACCCCATTTACAATATAACAACTAAACTAACAGTACATGCTTAACAATTATCAACTATTTTACAACAGTTTCTGAGCTGTTTTTAACAGCGGGGTTTGGAGCCGGTGTGTGCGAGGGCTGAGGAGCGGGCTCCATCCTCTCCTGGATGAGGTGCCACCACCTCGGTGGCACTCCCGTGCTCTCAAGCTTGTCACTTCACTGATCTTGCTTTCACTCGCCTGAGGGACCCATTGCTGTAAGATTTAAGCTCCCTTCCCCCAGCAGCTTACACTCAGCTGCGAAATAGGCCTAATTGGGACTAATTGTCCCCCCCGATCAGCGAATCCTTTGTCCTCCCGGTTGCGAGCTGAACGTGTGCCGCATTCCACATTCCACCCGCAACCTGCCGCACAAAGGAGCCGGGGCTGCCCCGCGGCTCCTCCGGGGAGCTGCAAACCCTCCAGACACCTCCCTGCAAGCTCCAGCCCTGGCCCGAGCTGCAGACCCTCCAAACACATCCCTGCAAACCCTCCAGACGCCTCCCTGCAAGCTCCAGCCCTGGCCCGAGCTGCAGACCCTCCAAACACATCCCTGCAAACCCTCCAGACACCTCCCTGCAAGCTCCAGCCCTGGCCCCATCCAAGGGAGCAGCACGGCAAGTGGGGAGCTGGAGTGGAGGTTCCTCCTTCCCTCACCTCGTTATTCCTGGCTGTTGTGGCACCCAGGGTTGGCACCTAGGCACAAAGGGTTGCTTGCTCAGCAAAGCGCCAGTTCCAACTCCTGAATTTCTTTCCCATTGTTTAGTGGGGTTTGATCTTTATCGGTTATTTACGTGAAGGTTCTTTCTCTCTTAGCATTAATAGACTGAAAAGCACGTGAAACTAAAACAAAGCCGACATCCCTGGACATCCTGCGAGCCATTGTTAGGCAGGATTTTGAACCATGTCGCACTATTGAATTTGATAAGGATTTTGCATAATAAGGGGGGAAAGTTGTATGGTACTTCATTGCATTTTTGTTATGTAGAAGCCTGCCGGAAGAGTCACAATGTAGGAGTTCAGCACCTTCTAATAGGATTTCATGTGGTTACAATGTTCCTGAAGGCAACTTCAGGAAGGATGCTGACGAGTGCCTGTCGTGCATTCTCTTTTCAAGGTGGAAAACTTCCCATTAACTTTGATTTTTAGAAACATTTCCATGTCTCAGTTCACTTTTCAGACCTTTGGCCAGCAAATTTCTGTTGCGTGTTTTGCACTCCAGGCTGTGCTTCTGACTGACATTAAGTACAAATCTTATTTAGAGAACGAATTCAAAACAAACAAAAGAAAATCAGAAAGCAGTTTTAAAGAACCCCTTCCTGTTGAGATTGACTTGAGTGGGAGCTGAATTTAGGACTAAGTGTGGTGTTCAGCACTGTAAAAATTACTCATGCTTTGTTTAAAAACCTCACAAACATACAGGCACTCCTCTAAGTGATAGTGTAAAATGATACTAACTTGATGGATGTCGTGAAAGATACTTGTTTGGAAAAACTCTGCAGTTGAAATAAACACTGAAACTTCAAAGTACGGTACAGCGAGAAAATTTTAAATAATTTTTAACTTTAAATACCACAGCTTCCTTAAAATCAGAAATTTGGGTTCAGCGCAGGGTGTGGCACATGAAAGGGAGATGAAAATTTTGAAAAACTGGCAATGAATTAGTCTCAGATTCACAGTGGAAGCAGACAGACATGTTCCAGTGCAGGAGCTGAGTTCAGGTACAGGTCTGGATAGCAAATGACAGGTTTTACAAAACTCGTTGAGAAACAAAAGAGGGGATCCTACCAGGTGGAGGACACAATGAGGTGAAGATCTGAGTGTGCTGAGGGTTTGTGTGATGTGAGAACAGCAGAATTGTTGCTGGGGAGGGGAGACTGGATTTTGTGGTAGCTTCAGATGGAGTCTTTATTTGACTTTTAATGTATTGTAATGGAAGTTTCCTGTGTTCATCTGAAAGAGGTTGTCATCAAGTGAGAAGTCTTAAGAGAAAATTGGTAAAAGCAGTATTAACAAAGAAACCATGATCTTTTTACCCTGTTCTGGCTCTGTTAGTGCTACATTGCTGCAGCTGCCAGGATTGATTTGATTTGGTTTTACAGTCTGCTTTTCTTTGTTGCTGTCTTTTAGAGTAATGTATGTGTGTGGTTTGTTCGTTTCTTTTTCTTTTATTTTTTTTTTCCCTAAGAGGGAGTTTGAAGAGGCTTTATTCTCTAGTGAAAAATTTATTTTAAAAATCATGGGACGAAGAGAAATGAGTGGAGCAACATGGGGGCTGAGTTTTGTGCCATGTATGTGAACAGCAGGGCAATCTATTGCTGCAGGACATAAATCAGGAGCTGGGTGCAGCTTAAGGACAGTGTTCTTTGCTAAAGGAAATATTTGTTTTAGGAGTAATTTCTTTATGGATATGCTGTGCAAAGGTGAGAAGTGGTTTCTTGGCCTACACTGAGCCACTTACAAAAGGTCCTGTATCCTTTGGGCCTAACTCTGATTTTACAGAGAGCAGAAGAGTCCAGGGAGCATCACCAGCATAAATCTGGTGAGTAAGGCACTACTGGCACTACTTTGCCACTTCACGTGCCCTGGGCTTCTTCTCTCACCTTTATTTTGTGCCTTTCATGTAGTTCAATCAGCTGGGATAGAGTTCTCTTATCTTTATCCGTATTTTTTATACTCCTTAGTCAATTTGTTTAAGCATAGTTTCAGTTAACAACAGAATATTTATTACAGCTCCCTTTGCTTGGGCTGGCAGCAACAGCAGTTTTGTCTGTGTAGTTTTTGTATCAGTTTGTCCAACCATTTAATTTTACTTAATTTCATTTCTTTACTAATTAATGTTTGAACAGGTATTCTAAAGGCAATTTTTGCTGCACAGTTGTTTTGCATGAAGGGATGTAATATTAAATATTATTTTGTCATCTTGAAGCGATGCTCCCACCCACAGGTCTCAGTTGCTTTCTGACTGTTACAAAGTGCTTGTATTTGAATGCTTTGTCCAGTTAGTGTTTAGTTTTAATTAACAGCATCATCTTAGCTCCCTGCTTTCAAGGGCAGCTGCAAAATAATAAATAACTGTAATATTATAGTTATTAATATTATAACAACTATAATATGCTTCTCTGTGCTTCATGTTGATTATTATTCTTTCAAAAGTTTTCATACTTTCAAATTTTTTGGCAAGAATGGTGACTTAAAGAGAGAAGTGCTTCTTGCTCCTTAGGTGTATAAGAGTATGTTTGAGGGGTTTTTTGGGTGTTTGTTTATTTTTTAAACCAAACCAGCTTTTCAGCCTGTTGAGACTTTTGAAATATTCTGTGTGAGGTTGCTAGCTGTGAGCAGCAGTGGGATAAAGCCTGGGGACAAATTCAAATGAAAAACTCCTTCCTTAGGTTTTAACCAGACAGAAAAATCTTCCTGTTTAGGTGCAATGCCCCATTTACTTGTAGGGAATAAAAAAAAAAAAAAAGAGAAGAGTGAAATAAACCTGGTGTATCTATTATGGAAAATGCCCCTTTGTATGTTGAGGATGGGGGAGTTCTGTGAAGATAAAATAATAAAATAGCTATAGCCCCTGCTGGCTGAGCCTTTTAGAGGAGTGGTGGCTTTTTTAGGGTAGTTTGAATGCATGTTAACACTTTGTTCTGGTTTAAATTCAATAGTAGGGGAGTGAGAAAGGTAGGGGTTTCTGTGCCAGAGCAAGAGTCCTCTAAATAAGTTTATTCATACCTGGAGATACATTTTTCCCTCTGTAACTATATAATTTTACTGCCTTTTCTGTACTAGAGCAATCTCCCCTGTGAATATTCTTATTTTAAAGAGTATAAGCAGAGTTTTATGTTGCTAGAAATATGTGTCTGGCTGAATAAAGTACGTAAATGTCTGTTTGCAAATATGTATATATTAATATGTAAATCTATATCTATACATATATATATATATGTATTTATATTTATAATATAGAAAATGGAAACTTCAAAGTAGGGTACAGTGACAGAATTTTCAATAATTTTAAACTTAAATACTCCAACTTCCTTAAAATCAGAGATGTGGTTAAAAATCCTGGTTTAAAATCAGAATGTAATAATAAAAAAATAAAACCACAGCTATTTGATCATAGAAGGAAAAACTTTCAGCTGTGCTGAAACCTTACATTGTTAGAGTCTTATTAGACTGCTAACCTCGACAGAGAGGATCTTGGTTTGTTGGGGTTTTTTTTGTTTTCTTGGGGAAAACATCCTGCAGTTAATGGGCTTTATGAACTCCCCCTGAGATTAGTAGGAAATCATGGACTTGATTTGCAGCAGCCTGGATTTTAGTTTCATGTAAGGCCTGTGATATTTGGCGTTAGCAAAATAGGAACTCATTTGACATTTACAGAAAAGTGGAGCTGGTACATGTAATGTTGTTGGTTGAGAAAAAAAGAGATTCAGTCTTAGAGCAGTCAGCTGTACCTG